AGCCACCCGGGCCAAGTGTGAGCAGAAGTTAGCTCTTGCACCTTTGGGGAAATATAAAAGAGCTTGACTAAACTGCCTCCCCCATCCTTTCCCCATGCTCTGGTGACCAGAGCAGCAGTGTGGATCTCGTCAGGCTTACACTGTTGTCCTCAGTCCTGGGCATCTGTGGTTTGGTGCTGCTTCTCAGCCAGTAACTCCTAAAGGTTATCAGGAGCACAAACAGGATTCCACTCAGACTGAGATCAGACAGGGAGAAGCTGTTTCTGAGGGCGTAAGAGCTGAGGGGCAGAGCAGGACTGTGCTCACACAGGACTGTGCTGAGGGTGAGTGGCTGAGGCAGCGGGTGAACGTTCAGCCTATGGCTCAGCCAGCACTGCTGCTTGTGCTGTGTTTGTCTTGCTTCTCACTTACCTGTTCTTGTAGATGGAGAAGGACATGAGGAGCGACACAGAAGAAAGCGACAAGGATGAAGAAAGAGATAAAATTAGGGAAAAGGAGAAGAACGGGACCACGCACTTCAGCAACGTGACCAGCAATGGGTACATCCAGAGGAACGGCTCTGAGCCCCCGAGCAGCAGAGCCCACCTCGCCAACGGCCACGTCAAGGACAGATAGCTGAGGTGCACGTGCTGCTGGTCTGGCCTCCAGGGAACACAGGCCACCATCTGTAGGAAAAGTTTTGCTCACTGTGTAGATAAAATGGAGTGCAATTGCAGTATCTTAGCTGAATTTCTGCTTCCCTGTAAACAGAACTGTTTATAGTCAGTGATGCTTGAAGGAAGTTTTTGGTCTTCCTTCTGCAAAAACTTACTGTAGGTTGTAGCCTTGGAAAAGATAGAAAGGGATCAAAGTGGTTTGACTTGTATTAGACTGTACCATAGTTGTCAAATGTTTTAATCTTGAAAAATAATTTAAAAAGGTGGGTAAACTTTGTCAAGTTTTACCCACCTTATGTTGTTTGATAGGAATCTGCTTAGCCTGGATCAGCCTCTGGGGGCCTGGCCCATCACCAGTAATGATTATGCCCAACAAGTGTGAGACTCCATATCGTAACCCTGGGACACTTCTTTGGAAAAGACAAAGTGCCCTGTGACACTTGGAAAATTAAAACTGAGCATAATGAAATGAAAGCTCTGGAAAGACATAGGAGGAAACATGTTCATCTCCAAGGAAGTACTCTGTCTGCCAGTGACCAGTTCTGTAATGGTGTGGATCTCAGTCCCTGTTTGGGGTCAGCATTATTGCCTCAGAGGTGGGAACTCCAAAGCCCAGGCCAGAGGAGCACCCACCCAAATCATAGTTGGAAGAGCTGGAAAATCCAGGCAGCTGTTTCTCAACTGTCAAGTAATCCTTTAAACTTTTCTCAGAAGGAAACAGTCAGGAGAAGGGAGGTGACAAGGAACTATATAACCTAGAAGACAACACTGATGAAAGTGCTCATGTTTTCACCTAGTGTGACTGGCACAGTGGGAAATGTTTACACACTCAGCTTGTGGCAAGAAGGGAATATGTTTCCCCTGTCCTCAGAGCAAAAAGGATCCAGAGAAAATCTGCTGAACCTTATGGAATAATGCTTTAACACAGCTTCTAACTCTAGGGCCTTTGCCAAGTGTATCAAGAGCAGGAAGTGTAAAGCAGTGATCCATGAAGTCATGATGCAGTGCTGTTTTAGTTTGTTTAGATGCCATATCTTGTATCCTGGGTAGTCTTAGATTCTGAATTCTGCAATCCCTTAAAACATTTAAATTAGTGTTACATGAATTTCTCTTTTATAGGTCAATTAATCTATGAAACCAAAGTATTAACTGATTCACTGTAATGAGTGCAGGGACTTCAACTGCCAAGGCCATGCAGACACTTCCCTCTATGTGCCCAATGTTCACTTGGGGGGAATAGGACATGGACCAAGGAGATGCCTTATTTGAGGAGGTGGTGCACATGTTTAAATTAAAAGGCAAGTGACAGCATGGAAAGACAAGAGGGTTTTCATCAATCCACTCAGGCCACCTGAGATGTGACTGAAAAAGATTTGATCTGATGAGCTTGTTGTGCTCATCTTTGGTTTCAGTCAAAACTCATTTGGAGGATTGGGTTTCTAAACTGGAATTGGATAATTTCAGAGGGGAAAAAGTAGTTCCAGTACGGGTAATTCCAGGGCAGTAACATGGTGTGAGAGGAGAACATCTGCTCCTGCATTGTCATTGAAATCCGTATTTGCTGAGGATAGTTTGTCTCTGAAACCTGGAGCTAACTGAAGTTGGAAGCACACGTTTTGTATGCTGTGAACTGGGTGACCTTGCCCCTCTGCAGGTGGTGTGCTCAGGAGGGATGGATATATATCATTTTGTACTACTGAATGTAAACATTCTTTATAAATAACTTTTAAAAGGTTTGATTGTCTGTGCTCTTTTCTACTTCTTTAACTACCAGGAGGTGACCTGGCTGGCTGCACCTTACAGGTGCACATGTGATGAGGGAGACACGTGTGGCTGCCACTGCCAAGGGGAGGATATTGCATACCCAGGACAGCCACACTGGGCTGTGCCAGTAGAGAACTGGAGCTGCCTGGTTTGTCTCCTGGGATAGGGAATGTTGTTGGGCAAGATGGGGGAACAAAAACTGAGACTGCTGGGGCCTTGAAGGTGCCAGAAGATCTCAATGGCTCTGGACAGTCTCCCCCAGGACCCCCATCCCCACCCTTTGTCAGGTGTCAGAGCTGATTAACAGGGGAGGGCTTTGTAGCCTTAGAAAGAAAAGCCTGATAGAAAGAGGGGGCAAGAGAGATGTCCCTGCTGACACTGTCACCAGGTGGGGACTTTAGTCATCCATGCAGCAGTGCGTGATTGAAATCAGCCACCCCCTCGACACCCACTAAACTACTGTCTTGTACTAGGACATCTTACCCCACCTCCAAGCTCACGGGCAGGTCAGAACAAGTGATGCTATTTCACCCTAGTCTGTCATACTCATGGAACTGAGCAGGAGGTGGGGACAGAGGGGGATGAGCTGTTGAACTGGGAATCCTGATTTAGCAGTGAGCTTTATGCCTCGCTGCTACCTGCGTGCTGCAGGCAGCCTCTGCTTTCTGTGCCCAACATCTTTACCAGGATGGGGGTGTCAGAGTGGTTCTGGCACCATGAATTCTGGCTGCCACCTGGAGCTACCTGGGAGGACTTGAAGGAGTCTGCAGACGTCCACTACCCGCAGCCTCAGGACCTGCTGCTCTGCATCCCTGGTGCTCTGCTGTTGATCTTTGTCCGGTGCCTCTTTGAAAGGTGAGTGCAGCACCTCTGGCTTCTCCTGACACTGTCCAGTGTCTTGCAGGGTTGCTCCAGAATAATCCTTACCTGCCTCCCAGCCACTACACTACAAAGTGTACAGGGGCTTGTCCCCAGGAACGCTGAATCTGTGTTTTCATGGCAGATGGTATTTGTGTGGCAGCCCTTTGGCCTGCCCTCACTCTCCTGTACCTCTGCCATAACCTGTATGAGCAGATGTGAAAAGACAATTCCATCACTCAGTCACACCTGAGCTGTGGGTGGAGGGTCCCTCTGGAGAGAGACAAGTGGAAGCTTGCAACACAGACAGGGATTTACTGGTGTTGGGAGCCACCAGCTGAGCCAGGGTTCAGCCTGAGGGTGCTGTCTGAGGCCCCCACCCCAGCACAGAGGCTGGAGCAGGGGGTGACCATGGCTCCCAGAACTCACTGTGGGACCACTTTGCTCACACCAGTCCCTGCCCAGCTCTGCCCTGTGTCCTCCTCCCAGCACCAGAGGACCCCAGTTCCACCAGAGGTGATGCACTCCAGTGTCTCACTGTGGGCACTTCACCCCAGGGGAGCCTGAGGGTCAGCTGGCATCTCCCCAGGATTCATGTGTGGAAATGAGGCAGGTCCACATGGCTCATGCCAGGAAACTATCTCAGCAAATCTCCCCCGAGCGCTGGCTCCTGCCTGCAGGGTGCAGCTGTGTGAGAGATGTGGTAGACACGAGCTGTAGGGAGAGCCAGAATTAATTCCAGTGTCATCAGGTCTTCCCTCAAAGAAGCAAAGGCCTGTTGCACTTGCCTGGCTTCCTAGAAACAACATGATTTAGAAAGCAATGCCTCCCAGTAGATCTTTCTTGCAGGAACCAACATATCCCCACATGTTGTGTCCTTGGCTCCTGCAGGCAGTGGACAGGTACCCTGGGCACAGAGCACATGGGACACTCAGGGGCACTTGCAGACTGGTTTTGTGGCAGTCTGGACTGCTCAGGAATGCTGTAAAGGGGACCAGCATGCACACCAAGAGAGACATGCTCTGTGTCTGGGGACCTCAGCAGAATGAGTTATTGCTTACTTAGCAGTGGTCACTGTTGTCTCCACTGCACAGCCAGCACCCCTCCCCTTTGTTTTGGTGCCACTGTGTCTGTCTGAAGGAGCACTGATCTGACACAGGCACTGGGCTGTGCATGTGCTCTGGGGCAGTGCTGGGTCCCCAGGGCTGTGAGTGCAGAGCTGGTTGTGTGAGCTCTGGGGCAGTGCTGGCCCCTGGGGCAGTTCATCCATGCACAGAACAGCAGCACCTTGCTGCTGGCTGACCCTGGCTCCCAGTGTGGGCACACAGGTGCTTTTCTGCCTGAACTCTCCTCTTGCAGAACTGTGGCTCTGCCCTTGGGCAGGGGGTTGGGTGTGAGGGACAAGCGGAGGCCCAAAGTCCAGACCAACGCCACGCTGGAAAGCTTCTACGTTCTGCTGGGCAGAACCCCAAAGGAGGTGAGTGGCCCCAGTGTCCCACTGTCCCCAGAGCCCAGGCAAGCAACACCCCCTTTCTGTCCAGGTACCCCAGGCCAGCCAAACCTGCCTCACAGGCAAGATAGTTACTGCTCACCACCCTTCCTGGGAAGGAGATATATAAGCAGATATTCCAGCACCTTCCCATGTGTCCAACTGCTGCAATCCCAGCACGTCCTGACCTGCTGTGTGTCAAACACAGGTGCTGTGAGAGCTGCTGGCTCTGGCAAGAAGGGAGCCATCACCCCTTTGGGTACAGTCTATTAAGGCTCAAGAATCACAGAATCATTTAGGTTCGAAAAGCTGAGATCTTCAAGTTGAACCATTGTTGCAATGATCTCTGAGTTAGTAGTAAAATGGCTAAGGGTTTCTGTGTAGACCAGGCCTCTGACCAGGCCTCTGATCGGAATGTACCAAGCTATGCAAGATTAAATAGAAACAATTATGGGAAGGAACTGAAGCATAAAGAACATGCATCTGGTGGTGGGAGTGAGGTATGCGAATTATAGAGTTAGGCAACTGGGGATGATTGATAATGACCTTAGCTAGGAGTTAATCAATTGGATGAAATATTAAGCTTCATCATGTACCTTTGAAGTGGTAGCTATAGAAATGTTTTGTTTGTCTGAGTGTATAAAAGATGTGCTTGAAATGGACAACGCGGGA